TGATGTGCTAGAAAGCTGGGTATATACAAGGGGGAAAAGAGCAAATAAAGCTAATAAAATAAGACATGCTTATAGCCACGTTTGGGAATGAAAAACACCAGTCACGGGCATAGATTAAATAGACAGGACCTATGCTGTGCTATCTGAAAGCAGATGCACTGGAGACTTGCACAGGCAGTCCAAGCACAAACCACTGTTTCCCAGCAGCCCAGCTACTGCTCAACCAGTCTCCCCCTCTTTTATCCACCATGTTATCCTGGTTGCAGCTCCGTGGCAGCCACTGTGAGGTCTCTGATGCATCCCAGAATCCTTTGCTCCTGGATCTGGTGCCCCTCTTTGGAAGGGTGACTGCTGAGGGTAGTGGATAGCTTTTGAGAGGCAGTTGGGAATGGAAAGCACCGAGGAGAGATGAGTGACAAGGGACTGGGCCTCTCTCAGGAGGAGGGAGAGAAAACAGCCTGGCTGGTAGGGGACTGAGTGGGCTCGTCAGAGGAGTGGAGAAAAGGGCAATCCAGCATGAGATTCAATCCATAGGCAAGAGCATCAACGTGTCACCAACATTTCCCCTTCTTCCTGGGCTCTTAGAAGACGTTTAGGGTACATAAGAGTTAAGCAACAACACAGAACACTGAGCGCCAGGCCTGGTGGCTGTCAACCAACTTTATGGGACTGAGGGTAACTTGGCCACACCCATGATAGTCAGATGTCCACTTAACTAAAATCATGCCGGACCACAGATGTTGCCAGACCAGAACGTGCCAGATTAGAGAGGTTCAACAATAGTAAATAATAATGCAACTGGGAGGCTCTGCCCCAAACAGCTTACAGGGTAATAAAGTAGTAGCAAAGGGCACATTTTGGTTTGGATGATGCACGTGAAATCCTCTGGGTTGCGAATCTTAAGATATCTGGCTCTTTCCTGAAAGTTCCCTCGTTTTTGTCAGCCTAGAAATAATTAAAGAAATAATCAAATTCTTGTGGCATCTCAGTCTGACTGTTTCCATCTCTGTGCCAAACCAGGAAGTGCAGAGGCGTGTCAAAACAAAACCATTAAAAAGACAAAGTTAACCAGCTACCCCCCTTCAGACCAGGATGTGTGCAGTGTTACGCAGGATTGGCCGGAGGGGCCTCTCCGCTGGATCATCCTGGATTATAAGCTTGAGCTAACTGGACAGAAAAGCTAGTTCCTGGCTTGTGAGGCACTGAACAAAGTGACTCACAGCTTGAGCCTGTAAACGGATCTTAGAAAGGAAAGTTGGGGTAGCCAGTTCCTATGAACATAACCAGCATGCACCTTAATTCAGCCCTCACACGGAACCTACACCAAATCTGTCTGACAGTTCAAAAATAGCTCGATACCGTGGGGCTAGGTTCTGATTTATGGTTTTTCCCTAGCTGTATGTAATATATATTTACAGCTGCGGAGAATACATATAGACACACATCTATGGAGCTCCCTCATTTGCATTTACATTAAGGACACTTTTCATCTCTTGGGCATGGCAATGGAGCCTTAATGTGCACATAAATGTCTCCAACTCAGTGCCTTCAATACGGGGCTGGTGACAGACGTCGCAAGGTAAAATGGAGCTGGACTCTGGGCCCCTCAGCAGGGGCAGGACCACAGATAGAAGGGGCAGGGCTTGGAGCTACCCTCCCCCACACATCCCTCAGCATCACCTGGGACTCTGGCATGGATTTAAAGGGTAGCAACTCTGAGCGCTGTCCCCTTTTAATTCACCCTTTGGGCAGGACAAATCTGAACAACTTTCAGGGTTTCTGTTAACTATTTGTGATGCTGAAACCCATCCAAAGCTACAGAGTACTATGTGGAGTGCGTGTAGTCTCTCTGCCTCCTCTTGCTAGCCCAGGTCCCCCACCCCCGCTTTCATGAGTGGCCCACACTTTCACATTTTGCTTTACCGCCTCAACATCTCTCTGCCTCCTCTTGCTAGCCCAGCCCCCCCACTCCCGCTTTCATGAGTGGCTTTACCGCCTCAACATTTCCTCGCTGTCCCTCTTGGATCTCCTGCTTGCTTTTCTGGGATGGGAGTCGGGAAGAGCCAAACATAACCAGTGATTCCAAGTCTGTCTCAGAAATAAATCGAGGGAGGGTGTGTTTGTGCATTATTTTATAGTATGTGTCGCATACCAGAAAGCTTGAAGGACCGGATGATGGTGAAGTTTCCTAACCTTTTTTCTTGGTGTGACACATTAGGGTCCAGTAGCTAGACTGAGAGATGAGGAGTCCAGGAACTTGGATTCTATTCTCCGCTACTGAGCAATCTTGGCCAAGTCATATCACTTCTTTATGCCTCTTCTTCCCATTTCAGGGAAAGTTGGAAACCTAAAGAACTTAGTGGATCCGGGCCCAAAGACTAAGTGACTTGCTTACAATCACCCCAGAAGCGGAACAAAAAATTGAGCTTGGGGTTGCTGAGTCTTAGGTTACAGCCTTAATCGCTGGACCAGTCTTCCATAGCTGAGGTAGGTAGCATCAGCCAGAACAAGGGGCATCTGCAGAAAGGAATCACGCCAGAAAAAGATGACTGGCACATTTAATCTTGACTTTTCTTTTGAAATGTTTCTTATTACTACTCAGGGGAGGGAGAAAGCATTGGAGATGGATGGCGTGGGAGGTTAACAAGGGCACAAGAGACGTATAACACGATCAGTCGCCACACGACATATATGCTAGCACTACGAAATTTACCATTGTCGATACATCTGTGGTGGGAGCAGAGGATGATATAGGTTGGGGAGCCTCGTGGAGTGAGCATGGGGGTTCACTAGTATAGATGGAAGACTTACGGGGCAAGAAAGGGATAGGTTGTTGGTTTGCAGAAGGGCATCCTCATGAAAGAATTATAACTTATGTCTGTGCAGCACCAGCTGTGCAGCACTTATGAGGTCACTCAGCGCAGCTATCTTGGCTGAAGTCCTACGGGGCTTTGTGTAGCTAAGAGGAGATAAGATCCAATTTAATCTCGCTTATTTTATTTTAGTTGTTTAATTTGAGATCTGCACATTATCCCTGTGTTTATTTCATTTAAAAGAAGTCGTTTTAGCTGATTTCTTTCTTTTTTAAAGATATGTAGTGAATGGGAAGGAAATCCCCCTAATTCCCTATGCTTCAAGAAATTTTAAAATGTATTTTTAATTTCCTGAACCATTCTCTGCACAGGTAGTTTGTGAAGAGTGCAGCAGCGTGGCAGAAGTCCTAGAGGAAATTAAGAGCAATGGGTTTTGTTCAGTATTTCAGATGCTCTTATGAACCTACTGGTACCAAATAGAACACATATAACTGATTTTTTTGGGGTGAACCTTATAGCATCAATGATTAGTTTCCTGTTAGCAAGACACAAGAAGTCATTCTTGCTGATCAGGCCTCAACTGGACTATTGTGCCCAGTTTTAGGCATCGCATTACAAGAAAGCTGTGGAGAAATTGGAGAAGGTCCCAAATGATGAAAGTTCTAGAAAACGTGTCCTATGAGGGAAGACTGAAAGAATTGGGTTTGTTTAGTTTAGAAAAGAAGACGGAGAGGGGACATGCTAGTAGTTTTCAAGTTCCTAAAGGGTGCTACAAGGAGGAGGGAGAAAAATTGTTCTCCTTGACCTCCAAGGATAGATCAAGAAGCAAGGGGCTTAAACTGCAGCAAAGGAGGTTTAGGTTGGACATGAGGAACATTCCTGTCAGGATGGTTAAACGCTGGAATAAGTTGCCTAGGGAGACTGTGGAATCTCCCTCACTGGAGATATTTAAGAGCAGGTTAGACAGACACCTGTCAGGGATGGTCTAGATGATGCTTGGGGCAGGGGACTGGACTTGATGACCTCACAAGGTCCCTTCCAGTTCTGGGATTCGATGATCATGTGTGTCAAGAAACAGCATACAAACTGGACATTCAATGGATCAGTGACCAGTGCAGGGAGTGCAGAGCCAGAAAGAAGAACCGCACTCAGCAAGCTCCCCATCATCCTGCCTCACGTATGAGGACTTTGACTGGATGCAGCATTCGCGGAAGGGTCTCTGGTGCTCACATTGGCTACCAAGGAGGCTTTGTGGTTGAAGCATTTGCAGCCCTTTCTCCAGCCATACTCGAAAGAGCTGTTGAATGGCTCCTCTGGAACGAGCAGCCTGTCCCGGAAGAGGCAGACGTAACCCTGAAGCCTGGTAAGTTATTAATGTAGGAATGGCAGGGATTTGCAGTTTATGACCCAATGCAAGTTTTATTACATGCTACGGGTGCAGCATTTGTTTGCTAATGTCGGCCCGCATGCCAGAGCTTTGGCATCATTTCCACAACCCAACACCATGGGGAAGTCACAATGGTGACTGAGAAGTGCAAACAGCCATTAAACAAGATTAAACATTGCATTGTTACTAGACAGACTTTCTCACAGATGTGGTAGGGTGCTAAAAATAAGAACCGTGTAGTACAGCGATGGGTAACCTAGGCTAGTGAGGGGGCCACATGCTTGGCTCTCCATCTCAGGAGGCTGCAAGATTCATAGAATCATAGAACACTAGACCTGGAAGGGACCTCAAGAGGTCATCAAGTCTAGTCCCCTGACCTCGTGGCAGGACCCAGAACCATCTAGATCATCATAAATATCTGTCTAATCTGCTCTTAAATATCTCCAGTGATGGAGATTCCATACCCTCCCTAGGCAACTTATTCCAGTGTTTCACCACTCTGACAGTTAGAAAGTTTTTCCTAATGTCCAACCTGAACCTCCCTTGCTGCAGTTTAAGCCCATTGCTTCTTGCTCAGAGGCTGGGAAGAACAATTTTTCTCCTTCCTCCTTGTAATACCTCTTTAGATACCTGAAAACCGCTATCATGTCCCCTCTCAGTCTTCTCCTTTACAAACTACATAAGCTCAATTCTTTCAGTCTTCCTTCATAGGCCATATTCTCCAGACCTTTAATCATTCTTGTTGCTCTTCTCTGGACCTTCTCCAATTTCTCCACGTTTCTTGAAATGTGGTGCCAAACCAGGGGAAAATCCTCACACAGTCCCCCACTACCATAGATTGTGCAGTCGAGTGTCTCCTTTCGGAGAAATCACAGGGGTCAGCACACCCACAGTGCAATGGATGTGCCTCACCCTGGGAAACCCACTTTCCTGAACATGGTATTTCCTCTGCCAGGCAGGATTTTCATAAGATTATCTCCCAAGACAGGGTAGTTTCGCTAACGGCGCTTGTGCACCGAGAATTTGCGGAGTGCGCCGACTGAACCGTAGCAGCACTTTTATTGGCTGCAGAAGGAGCATGTGGCTCTCACGGTGCAGTTCACATGTACCTCACTTCTCATGCCCTCGCTTTACATGTGCATCACTTTAGTAACACCACGAGGAAGAAAAAACTACGTGGACAGAAACCAGCGGAATCTGGTAACCCTGTGTACGGGCAAGGGTAAACAACAAGCCTTGCGGGCTTTGAATAGAACTGCAATGGGCCATAGGTTATCCACCACTGGTATTTTACCTTCCCTTTTTATACATTGAGCTGGAGGAATCTGTCACCCCACAATATAATGGGATACCTCCAAACTGCATGGTGCGCACAGGCGATGAAATCCCTGTTTGAAATATGACAGAGGGGAGTTGTGTGCAGTCCAGAAACATGCCAGTGATGGGCTGGCTGTGCAGTTCCTTGAGAGTCTGGATTGTCATGTGTGTTTCCATGTCATCCATAGGTGGATGTAATCAGAGCAGACGGTGTGGTCAGCTGTAGCTGCCCCTCCGGTAACTTCAGGAAAGCAGAGTTTTCTTACAGGGAGGCAGTAATTCCTGTGGAGGTCTGTTTTCCACCTCTGCAGCCCAGCCCCAGTCTAGCACATCAGGGCCTTCCACTTTGACAGTCCAATTCCAGTCCAGTCAGGGATTGTAGAGTGTCATGGAATGGTCAAAGAGGAAGTCTGGCCATGACCAGGTGATGGTGGATATCCCAGAGAGGGACCACATGTAGGCCCAATACCAAAGAGAAGAGGATTCATGGCCAGTAGGAAGGCACAGCTAAGTTGGAGAGCCTGAGGAGAGAATTGCAGCATGCAAGGAGAGTCATGCAGTGTGATTTCTGAAGCAGGCACTTGGCCTGAGGGAAGAAGATGGAGTGCAGCAGAAAGATTTGTTGGAGAGGTGGCTTGTGCTAATGGACACGGTTGTTCAAGCTCCTGCTCAAACCTCACCATCTTGTGAGTCATCTCCATGGTACAGTAGACTTCCGATAATCTGGAACCTATGGGATCTAGGTGGTGCCGGATTATCAGATATGCCGGACTATCAGGAGGTACTATAAACTGGTTATATATATACTGTATACAGTATGTACAATAAAAAGGGTTAAGAACACTTTATATATGGTATATACTGTATACAGTATACTGTAATGTTTTTGTTTTTTTAAGCCTTTTTTCCCCTTTTTGCTCAGTTCAGCTCCTGCCGCTGTTACCTTGTGACTCCTTTTTTGCCGAAGCTCACTCACTAGGCTCTTGCTATTTTGATGCCGGACTATCAGGAGTGCCGGACTATCGGATGCCGGACTATTGGAGTTTTACTGTATCATGTTCTGTAGAGCAGAAACACACTGGACAAATACCATGGCTGGGTGACCCATGCAACCAGGACTGAACACTAGTTATGGAGGGCAAATATTTATCTTGCCGCCCTCCACAGCAAGGCCGAATGCGTGTTGAACATGAGGGAGAAGAAAGGCAGGCCAGGTATACTCAGAGATAGGAGATTCTATTTGTTTGCACTGGTTTCTCTCTTCGTTGTGTTGTGCACTTCATTTTAATACTGGTTTGGGTGTTTTAATGGCAACTGGCCTGCCGGACAGTTTTTTAATGGTGTTTTTCTGTACTGCGGCCATGTTAACAAAGACTAGCTTTTATTTAATTAGGAAAGTTTATGGCCAACCCTCCATCGGGTCATAGAATATGTGTGGTTTCCAGACTACCGATAAAGCTGTGATAAGGCACAACCGGGAAGCTGTACCCACATACTAGCTCTCAGTAAGTCCTTTTGGCCCAATCCAGAGCCAACGCCCAAAAGTCACGTCACACGACTGAGTGTCTCCCCCAGCCTCATGGAGTTCTCTCATCCCTCACTGAATATTAATGACGGTCACCCCACATCCGTAGCATTTAGCACTCGGGCTTAATTTACAGTGAAGAGTGCTGTACAAAGACAGCCATAAAGGTAGTGCTCTACCTCTTTCGTTGGTCCAGGGAAGTCCATAATGTGCTACAACAGGGCTCCTCTTTCCTGTCATGCTGCAAATTGCTGAGAGATGTGCTTGTGGTCAAACATGGACTGACAGAGTTCTACCTACCGCCCCCCGTACAAACAGGTGTAGCACTGAGTTTACAATAGCAGCCACTTAGATCACTCATTATAAAACCTGCTTTCCTTATACTCAACACCCGACTGACATAAAAAGCTAAGTATGGGTTATCTCCAGCCAACTCAGTTAGTCTCATTAGCACCGTCCCTACAATTCACAGGTGCTTTTTTTCCCTCTCCCTTCTTTTTCTGTTATAAATTCTAGGGGTTTCCCCCTTTTCCCTCCACTCTGCTCATCTGAGGAAGTGGGTTTTGGCCACAGAAGCTCATACTATATACATATTTTTGTTAGCCTCTAAAGTGCCACAGGGCCAGGGGCAGCCCATGCATTTAGGCAGACTCAGCAGTTGCCTAGGGAGCTGCGTTAAATGGGGTGCCCAATGATGACGCACTGCTGTTGAGGGCTTTGGATGCGGGGGCGCGGATCGCGCATTCCTCCTAGGGCTCCAGTTGCCAGCAGCTTGTCTTGGAGGCAGGGGTGCTGATCGCACATTCCACCTGGGGTGGCAGTTGCCGGCAGCTCATCTCGGGCTGCCCCTGCACAGGGCGACTCGTTTTTAAAGTTACCGACTCACACAGCTACCCCTCGGAGATGTTAATTTAGAAAAGCAGCAGTGAGACGGAAGGTGTTTTCTACCAGGGAGCTCTTTCAAGTCTCTGACTCTCAAAGCATGCAAAGTCTCTCTCTCTCTCCACCCTCCTCCCCACTTCCTTCCTCCACCTCTTGTACTTTCTGGGTGAAGGGATTCATTAGTCTATCCCTAATCTATTGATCAGGCACAGTCTTGTCCCTCAGGTTTGTTCCAGGACAAATTAATTGGCAATCCATATTGGCCCAGCTGCTCTTGCCTGTTTACGCGCTAGGTGTACTAGTTCAGCAATCTACTGCCATCAAGGAGCAATTGGGGCAACTGGCTCACCTTTGGATTCAACAGTTTAGGAAGAGCACAGCAAGCCTCAATAACAGACAGCACTGGTGACACTGAAAGCCGAATGGTTCTGTAAACAGCACCTGTTGGGTTTCAATTGGCAAATCCACATTCAGTCACCATTCTACCGCTACTGACGCTACGTCTACACGGCCTCATCTTTGAGGAAGAGGCAATGCAAATGAAGCGCTCATTAGCACTTCCGATGCTTTTTGCGGAAGAGGTTTTTGCGCAAAAAAAGCAGTGTAGATAGGTCTGTTTTGCGCAACCCCCCCCCTTTTGCGCAAGAACCCTTATTCCTCAAAATACGAGGTTTACAGCTTCTTGCGCAAAAGGTTTTTTTTGCACAAAACGGACCCGTATACACCGCTTTTTTTTACACAAAAACCTCTTCTGCAAAAAGCACTGGAAGAGAATATACAAATAAAGTGCTAGAAGTTGCTAATGAGCGCTTCATTTGCATTGCCTCTTCTGCAAAAAAGAGGCAGTGTAGACAGTCTGAGAGTGTGATTAAACCCTCTTTGCCCACGGTCTTCAGAGAAGTTTCATAAGTGTCACAGTTGCACCAGGGGGGCTGATGACGTGGCAGTACCCATAAAAGCATGACTGGTGTGGAGAAAGTGAATGAGTACAATTTATTTACTTGTTCCCAGAACTAGGGGTCACCATATGAAACGAATAGGTTAGCAGGTTTAAAACACACAAAAGGAAGTATTTCTTCATGCAGCACACAGTCAACTTGTGGAACTCCTTGCCAGAGGAGGTTGTGAAGACCAGGACTTTAACAGGGTTAAAAAAAAAAGTTAGATAAATTCATGGAGGTTAGGTCCATCCATATTTGTTAGGCAGGATGGGCAGTGATGCTGTCCCTGGCGCCTCTGTTTGTCAGAAGCTGGGAATGGGCAACAGGAGATGTCTTTCCCTCTGGGGCACCTGGCATTGGCCACTGTCAGCAGACAGGACACTGGGCTAGATGGGCCTTTGGTTTGACCCAATATGGCTGTTCCTATGTGCATAGGGCTGCTGGGCCATGCCATATAAATATCTTGCTGGGAAGGAATTCTGGACTGGACCACCCAGCTGCATTGCTGTTAATAGCAGACTTGTATCAGGCCGCTTCTGGAGGGTTATAGCAACCCCCTCCTGGGCTGGTATGGCTGCCACGAGGCATGCGTCTGGTACTGGAGGGAGCGGAGGGTGCAAGCATTTCTCAAAGCTCTAGAATTGCAGCTTTCTACACAAGAAAGTTCTGGATCCACTGGTGGTCACTGCAGGTCCTCAAAATTGCAGTCTGTCCTTGAGGCTCCACATAGGGGGCACCAGAAGCATAATGAGAGTTACGAGCAGCCAGTTCCCGTCTTCCATGTCTGAACCCTCCCCCTCCTCGTCCTCCAACAGGTGCCTCTGGTGGGTCAGAGAACGCTGTTGATACGTCCCACGGCTGCTCTACTCATTCCCTGCCACAAGAGTCAAAGCTCACGCAGGACACGTTTTTCAAAACGGCGACTTTCTGTGTTGCTGGCTCTGGTGGCCGGGAGCACGTAGCTCCAGAAGATGGCATGGCAGGAAGTGTTTGAAAACTGCAGCCACTTCCTGGACACTGCCACAGGATGGGGAGTCATGTTTGCCCACAGTGCTCCACAACGAAAGGGCTGGAGAAGTTGCAGCTGAGGAGAGCACCTAGAAAGCTGGTTTGACTTGGGTCTGGATAGTGCCATTTGGATGCATGAGGGTCGGTGCTAGAAATTCTAACGTTAGGACCAATATTCGGGGGGAGAGGATCCTCAAGAGAAGGCTTAAAAGCACTGAGCTCAAGTCCCACTGACCCAGGCTTACATTGCAGTGTAGACATAGTCTTGGTCCATCTGAGGTCCCAATTTG